GAAATCAGACAACAGATTTCATTGGGAAAATCTACTGCCAAAGAGCTCTCTAAAGTGTTATAGAGGAAAGATGTGTCTTTAAAGACCAAGCCATGATATTTGTAGTCACCTTGTATTCGTGTGAAAGCTGCACAGCGACTGAGTAAGATGGAGGAATTGGTGCCTTTGAATCATTGGATTGGTGCAGAATATGAAATAAGTCAGAGCAAAGCTGTCTTGGAAAAAATATAGCTAGGATGCTCCTTAGAAGTAAGCCTGGCAAGACCTGTGTTGTGTACTTTGGACCTGTATGTTATCAGGGACATTTGTCCCTGGAAAAATACATCGCTGTAGGTAGAAGATCAAGGGAAAAGAGGAAGAAGACCTTTAATGAGCTGGGTTGACAGTGGGTACAACAATGAGATGGTGCAGGACCTGGCATTGTTTCATTCTGTTGTACAAAGGGCTTCAAAAAGTTGGTGGAAAAACTCCCTTTTGTTGGAATTCCATTTTTCCATAAGCTATTTTTTAAACTTTTGATTGTGAACAGGTGAGGGTTTACAAAGCTGACCGTTGTTTTATATTGAACAATATATATACATTCTGATTCAACTCATCCATTGAAATCCGTTTATCTTACTTGCTCCCTGTGTTTCCTGTTTCCATCCCTCTTCGTTTCCTAACCCTCTGAACTTTGTCCTTGGGTCAATGCTGCCTATTTGCGCTTAAATGGTTGATTATTCTAACGCAGAGGTGAGTTCAGTCCAGATCTGAAGGATAAAGGTCTGTAACATTGGGTGTCTCACCAGACTCCTCTCTGAGTAAACTTGTATGTCTTATGATGTTCAGTTCTGTTCCACAGTTTTCTCCTTCTCTATCCAACACATAATGGAATCCATTTCACAATAGCAGTGGGTAGTGGTAGCTGGGCACCATCTACTTCTGATCTCAGGGTTGTCTCTACTTTTCTTTTTGTACTGTCCTTAAAGTTACAAGGCCACGTCCATCATAACATCATTCACACGCCTCAGGGAGGTTGGATGGCAAAGGAGATTAACCCGGCTTATCAGTTATAGTTGGCTTCTTGCACCTGCATCGAGTTTGCTGCACCTAACAGGTGGTTTTGACCAACTTCTGGAGCCCAAGGTGGGCCTGGAGCAACTCCTACCACCACAGAAGAGCTGACCCACCACAAAGTACCTGCAGATGCACCCACCAACTCCAGAGACATAGATTTTTTGTGTGATTTAGACCAGTTTTTTTTTGGTATCATTTTTTTAATCGTTTTATTAGGGGCTCATACAACTTTAATCAGAATCCATACATACATCAATTGTGTAAAGCACGTTTGTTCATTCATTGCCCTCATCATTCTCAAAACATTTGCTCTCCACTTAAGCTCCTGGCGTCAGGTCCTCATTTTTTCCCCTCCCTCCCCGCTCCTGCCTCCCTCATGAACCTTTGATAATTTAAAAATTATTATTTTGTCATATCTTGCCCTGCCCGACATCTCCCTTCACCCACTTTTCTGTTGTCCGTCCCCCAGAGAGGAGGTCACATGTAGACC